AAAAATATGGAAGCGATGCTGGCGAGCGAGGCGAATGCAAGAACTCCAGGGTATCCATGCGCCTGGGTTGTGGCCCACCCTGGTGTCCCACAGTCCTGCTGCTGCCACCTGGCCTGGCAAGGCTTCCTCAGGCTGGGAGCAGCCACCCTGCCCAGCACCCTGCCCATTGGCATTGCTGCCCACAGCCTCCGTGGGACATCTCCCCGTTCTCCGCACCATTTTTTGCAACAGAAACGGCAGGGCATGAGGCTGGTCCCTTTCAGCAATTGCTTCCATTACTACTAGTGCTCCTTAGAAAAGGAGGGGGGAAAATGCAATTTAAGTGAAGACCAAACCTTCCCCAGGCCTCTGCCCAGTGAAACATCATTTGTGGAAAACTTCGAAGTTGCTCCCCATAATTTGGGGTGGGGGGAGCAGACCAAAGAGCACTGCTGATTTGCCTTCATTTTACAGTGCTGTTGGAAAGCAGTGCTGTTTTGTGAAAAGTAAATGCTCTGTGGAAAATGATCAGTTCCATGATATTTTGATGGAAAGTTTCTAATTCACTAGAAGTGAGTAATCTGTTTTGACCTCCTTGTTTTGTTTGTGATACATTGCTTTACCTGAAGTGCATCCCTTGGGTGGCACTGGCACTGTTCACTGTGGTAAGATCATTCTTTCAACTCAAATGGTACCCATCCTGCAGTAAAACAAAAAATACCACTCACAGCAATGCAGGATCTTCACTGGGAGTTCCACATTTCAAGCTTAAGGTAGTCACCTCTTTTCCCACCAGTCAACATAAACTTACTGATACAGCTGTTGAGTAATAGAGGTAATACTAAAGGAAGACAGTGCCAGCATCCGGGCAACTGCAGAGAGGTACAGATGGCCTCTCCAGACATGGCAGAGCTTTAACGGCACCACAATTTCAGCTCCTGTCTCTGGAAAAGAGATACCTTACTTCTGAAATCACTGGAAAGTTAAAGAAGTTGAGTTTTAATGGTACCCACCATACCTATATCCACGTTTAACGCATTGTCTCTAAGGTAAAGAAAAGGGGGGGGGAGGGAGGGAGGGAAGGAGGAGGTGCAAGGAGAGCGGTGGGAGGTACAGAATGGGAGAGAGGTGGGGAATGTCTGTGTGTCAGCACCGGGGCTCAGGGTAGCCCAAGCTTTGTGAAGGGGAGGTTGCTGCTGGCCATGCAATCTTTGCCTCTGAATATTGATGACTGAGGATCCTAGGAGATGGGAAATATGCTGAAGGCTAAAGGCATCCCTCCTGATGGACTGGTGCCTGCAGTGTGTTTAGTAATGAACTGAGTTCCTTTCCATACTGTCTGTATTTTAGAGCACAGAGAACAGCCCTACTGAATATGCCTTAAGCAACTAACTCCCGGAGAGATGCAGATGGTCTTTACTCTGTCCTGAAACCCCCTTTTTGGTAATCTTGTTTCACTGGGGGACCAATTGATCAGTAATTAAAATACGGGATAATTAAAATCTCATGAAAACCTTCTCTGAGTCCTCAAAGTGAAATATAGCAGCTTCCCCACTAGTTACACTGCTTGTCCTGATTTTGCAACGTCCCCCAAGCATGGTGATCCAACCACGGTGTCTTGCTGCTGCGGAGAGCTGGGAGACAACAGCCTCCAGGAGCGCCAGTCGCTGGCAGCTCCCTCCAGGGCCCTGATGCATTTCCAGCATCGGTTGCATCATTTGCAGAGATGCTCTGTGTGTGGATGTCCTCACATGTGTGCATGCTGGTTTTTGTTTGGAAAACAGGGCGGTTTTTAGCTCCTTACATCCACCAGAAACTGGAAGCCTGAGTCCCCTCGCAGCTGAGCAATGCACCCACCAAATACGAGCAAGAGTCACTGTGAGAGTCCAAAGCCCAGTGAAATCCCACCACGACAGAAGAAGGCTAAAGGCATTTTACCTGTTTGCTGTCAGGTAAAAGGTGAGTGTTGTAAGAGTTGAACCCTGTAAACTGGACCATTTTTTTGTGTGTTCATAAATCTAATTATGACAATAAAATGGCAGGTTTTCCTACAGAAAACACAGGCTTTTTCCAGACATCTGAATGTTAAAACACATCAAGCAGACTTTGAACCCAGAGTGCCCCCTTCTCCTTCTGGCGGAGCAGAGCCCTTCTGCCCAGGGACTCTTTCCTGGGTGCATTCAGGCCTCTGAAACACCTTAGCTAAATGGCATTCATTAGTTTGGGGGAACATTTATAGAGAAAAAAACCCTGTACTGGAGCCAGGCACCACCAGTGTGTGATTAATAGCAAGTGGTGGGGTCTGCACTTGCCAACAGGGGGGCAGAAATGCTCTTTCACTCCCAAATGTCTTTGGCACAAGCCTTGGCAGTTCTTTCTAAGTTTTTCCTGAAAACTGTCTTGTCCTGAACTAACTTGTCCAGATATCTAACTGCGGGATTAAAAAATGCTGCTGCGTCAACTACTGTGCTTATGGAAGCAGGTGAGATGCAGCCCTGACACTTCCAGGTTGTCCAAGCAAGACAGTTCCTGACTGTAGCTTTGTCTGGCTGCTAATGTTGGCTGCCAGACCACATCCCCGGGGCACGCAGGGAGGCAAGTTGCAAGTGGGGGGCTGCCATCCTCCTCCAGCTGCCCAGACACAAGCCCGCCCCTGCGGGTCCCTGCCATGGGAGCCTGGGTCCCCAGGGGCACGTCTGCGCGGCCCCGCAGCATCCACATCGCTGTGGGCCACGAGCATCCGAAGAAACGAGTGCTGCTGCCAAGGCTGCCAGTGCCCAGAGCTGGCACCGAGCCGGCGGATGCGTCCAAATCCTCCCACGCCCCAGTGAGGCTTCGAGGCTGGCAGCAGTACCCGCCGGCTTCGCAGCGCGCCACGGCAGTGTTGGCGGGGGGGAATGTGGCAGCTCCAGGGCCTGAATTTTCTCACTTGTGTCTGATGGGCTAATTATTATTGATTGACATTTTTGGAATTTTCAGGGCACTTTGGGGGAACAGCAGAGTGTGGGAAGAGGAATATGTTGACAACGTTTTCACATAATCCTTTCCAGCCCCCTCATTTTTCAGTCAGCCATGGAACGTGTCCAAATATCTGGGATTTTAATGAAATTAAAAGCAAGCAGACCCAAACCCCTTTGAAAATACAAGAAAAATACAAGAAAAAACACAAATGGCTGTTTCCCTCCTCTCCAGCCCCTGTTGCTGCATGGCTGGGATGGGTATCCAGGGGGGACTGGTGGTGATCTGGGGAGGCTGCTCTGGCCTTTGCTTCTGGCCCCATGCCAGAGCATCTCTCCCAGACCCATGGTGCCACGTGTCCCCCCTGTTTGGGTGCTCAGTTGGTGTTTGGTGTGAGCATCTTCCCCCTCCATCCACAGCCGGCCACCAGGCCCCACAATAAGACCATCCTCTGCCCACCCCCAGAGCCACACGGCACCCTCAGTCCTTTTACAAGAGAGGGAACCAGTGGTTTTTGTCAAGCACCTCTGCATGCTGAGCTGTCCTAAGCAACATTTTGAGAGCCATTGCTGCTGGTGTGTATTTATCCTAAACCCTGAGCAAAGCCCCACTGGGAGCTGCACCTTAGCACATGCTGTTCAGAATCCCCAAAGGGCTTCAAGCAGGTTTATCACATGAAAAAAAATGGTCTTTGTATTAATAAGTTACGATCCACTTTAGCTTAACTGAACAGAAGCAAGCAATTTGTATTGCATGTGACATAAAGATGCATTTAAAGGTGGTTACAAGGGATAAATGATTGCATACTGGATACATGAGCATCAGCATGTGCAACATCTATCTCAGATGCTTCAAATGCATTTGCACAAGTTTAACCACCACTGATGGAGGTAACTCTTATATTCTATTATATAAGATGCAAACTAGCATACAGTAAATACCTACCTAGCAAGCTGGATTTTAAATTGGCTTTGAATTTTCCTTGGAAATGGCAACCTGAACAGCTTGTGCGGCTGGGAGTCATCACTGCATCCTCACTGCCACAGCTGCTGGCACTGGGCAGAGCCGGCATGGCGACATCTCCGAAAGATGCTCCCATTGCGTGCTAATACTGTGAAGGTATAATCCAGACACAGCTGGAGCTCTGGCTCCTACAAGATATTCAGGACTCAGCCTGCAAACACATACTCTTTGTATTTTCCCCGGGCAGCTTGCTTTTAGGTTTCCTGGGTTTTGAATTGACTCTGCCTTTTGAGTGGGAGTTTTAAGAAAAGATCCCCAGCAGGTTGAAAGCAAAGGAGCTGGCTGTGATGACTAACCATTTTGATTTAAGGTGAATGTGGGAAACACTGAGAGGAGAAGCAAAGCCTCCGCTTTGTGAGCAGCGCATCGTCAGTCAGCAGCAGCATGTGCGTAAAATGGATCCCAATACCTGCTGGCCTCAGTTTAAGATTATTAATGTTACTTAACCTAAACAAGACCAGACGGGAAGGATTTTCCCCCAGCATGGATTAGTGAGTCAGGAGAAAACAGAAATTCGGCAGAAATCCTCTTAGTCACTTTTATCAAGGGTAGATTTTCACATCTGAATCTCAGCTGCCAATTTGCATGGATAATCTCAGATTAGCTTGTTTTTCTTTCCCTCCTCCTAAATAAGTGCACTTTTGCAGTGACAAAGGAGACGAACAATTCTTTAGGATAGCGGCTGCGACATCTAAATAATAATGATAAAAAAGTCCATCTAAAAACGAGCAGCTCAGCACTTTTGGCTCCCCCCTCCTCACTATGCATTATTCATAGTAGCCAACAGGACCAAATGTGTACACTCCCTGTGCAATTACCAGGAGAACATATTCAAAGACATATGCTAGTGCCTCTTAGTGAAAGGAGATGTGCAAGTACCGATTATTTACTAGGCACTGTTATAAAATCTGCAAGTTTGACTCCAAGGTTGCAGTTTAATTG